GTTCCGCCCTCACAGCCCCGCCCTCCGCGTCCGGCCAGAAACGCCGGCCCGCGCCCCTTGGTTCCGCCCTGGGTGGGGAGGTGGCGGCGGCTCCGCTTAGAATGCGGGATCCGCAGCCCCAGGTGTGAGAAGGGGTTCCAGGGTTAAAGAACGTTGACACCGACGGCCACTTGTTTTTTTTACTATATTTTCACTGATTTCAGAGAGAAGGGAGGCGGAGAGAGAAACATCAATGATGAGAATCATGGACCGGCTGCCTCCTGCAGCCTCACACTGGGGATGGAGCCTGCAACCCGGGCCTGTGCCCCAACAGGGAATCCAACCCTGACCTCCTGGTTCCTAGGTCAACGCTCAACCCCTGAGCCACACCAGCCGGGCCTATTGCCACTTTTATTAAAATATCAAAAAAACAATGGTTCATTTGTAAAGGATTAAATAAAATGCTCAGATGCACGCATCTGCTGCAGGGCAGGCAGCTTTAGATCCCACTGAGCCCTGTAGCCACCCTGGATTATGGTTTTAAATTTAAAATTAAGGGTGGGAAACACAGGATTTTAAAGAACAGTGACGTTAAGTGATAATTCTGCAATTTGTCTCATGATGAATTTCACTGGATCCTGTTAAAGTTCTTACAGCATAAATAATAGAAATGATGTAGACTTTAAAAAGTAAAACAAGCCCCAGCTGGTTTGACTTACTCGCAGCGGTTCTCAACCTGTGGGTCGTGACCCTTTCTCAGGGGTCGCCTAAGACCATCGGAAAACACATATATAATTACATATTGTTTTGTGATTAACCGCTATGCTTTAATTATGTTCAATTTGTAACAATGAAATTGGGGGTCACCACAACATGAGGAACTGTATTAAAGGGTCGCGGCATTAGGAAGGTTGAGAACCACTGGCTTAGAGGATAGAACTTTGACCTGTGGACTGAAGGGTTCGATTCCGGTCAAGGGCACGGACCTTGGTTGCAGGCTCATCCCCAGCCGTGGTTGGGGCGCATGTGAGAGGCAACCAATCGATGTGTCTCTCTCACATTGCAATGTTTCTCTCTGTCTCTCCCCCCTTCCTTCCACTCTCTAAAATTCTATGGAAAAAAATCAAAATAAAATTCAATGGAAAAATATCCTCGGTTGAGGATTAACAAGAAAAAAAAAGAAAGACTGTGAAATAATACATCTTTTTCTAGACAAATTCATTTGTTAATGTTCCAACAACATGATTCATCCTCAAAAGCTAAACCATCACCAGGAGATTGAAACCACTTTCACAGTTTTTATTAGTAAAATTCATTCACTTTTTACGGGCAAGTGTGAACCCTCTATTCGATTTCTACACGTGCAGAAGGTCTAAGGGAGAAGAACACGAGTATTCCGGACCCGTGGTCGTGGCCGTGGGCACCAGACCCTCTAGCCGTGGCCCCCGGGGCTGCCGTGGACCCTGAATCTGTACAAACACGTGTACTTCGGATGTCCCCAGTTGCTGAGGATTGTAAGCTTCACACACAATAAGGGCTCAGACACTTCATGCTGGAAAAAAGGAAAAAAATTAATGGCTTATCAAGAAACCCATCTCAAAGGGTCCTAAGGAATTCGGTTGTAATGGGCAAGGAACTCTTTCCTGCATTAAGTGCAATCACACAGGCTCTAACGCAGTGGTTCTCAACCTTCCTGATGCCGCGACCCTTTAACACAGGCCTCTGTCCTCCTGGCCTGGGCCTCCGGCAAGGTGGGCGCCCCCCCATCCATGTGATGAGGCAACAAGGTGGGTCCGTCCCCTGAAGCTGGGAGTGGCCACCTTTCCAAGGAGAACCCCACCCGTGACGCTCCCGCGGTGCGGGGTGTCAGGGGTCAGAGCAGCCCAGGCTCCAAGAGGAGGCGGCACGCGTGGGCCGCTCTCCAGGGCGCGAAGGGCTGATGGGCTCGGCTGATAAGGCTATGGCCTCGCCCTGGGTGCGATGCTGCGGTTGCTGTTCTCAAGGTCCCGGGGACAGGCTGTTCCCCACCTGCCGGGCCCAGCGCACCTGAGCTGATCGTTAACCGGCGGCGGGACGTTGACTCTCTCTGTCTCACTCACATGTGTACATGGAGCTCAACATGCATCCACTCAAAACTCACCGCCTTCGCCAGCTGCACGCGCACGGCTCGGGCGTGAAGCACGGTCACGCTGTGGTGCAGGCGTCACCGCCACCCTCTCCAGAACTTTCCATCCTCCCAAACTGAAGCCCCGTCCCCGTTCAACACTCCCTCCTCCCCACGCCTGGCACCACCACCCGCCTCCTTGGGGGCCTCGGACGAGTGGGTCACACAGGCTCTGTCCCTCTGGGTCCGGCTAACGGTGCTTAGCTTCAAGCCTGGACGTCCCGTGGTGTAGCATCCAGGCCCTTGCTTCCTAAGGTGAATGATCTCTGTCTTCTTTAAAGCCCGGCATGAACCCTTCTCTCTTTTCCATCGACTTCCCCAACGCTCACCCAGCGGCCTTCACCCAGTGGCCCTCCCCCAGCGGCCCTCCCCCAGCGGCCCTCCCCCAGCAGC